TGGCCGCCTTTGTTCAGGGCGTGAGAGAAGCTGCCTTCTTTATTACAAAGCCCGTGCTTTCTTGCTGTGGAGAGAGACAAGACTAGGGAAAGCTGGGAACAGTAATATTTCAGGACCAAGGGCCAGAGAAAGGTCAAGAGAGAAGCAAGCTGCTTTCAGAGACACCCAGGTAGGAGAGAGTTTGAAGAGCAGCCTTAATAGAGAGGGCAGGGAGCTAGATTGGACTAGGAATGAAGAGTGGAGTTGAGGGTGTTAGGTGCAGGACAGGATGGTCTGCAGGGCATGCCAAACAAAGTTAGCTGCAGGATGACCTGGCCTCTCAAACCCTCTGTCTGGTTCCTTATCACCTGATTGCTTCAAGTCCAAATGCCCAAGCCCCCGTTCAGCCTTGTGCAGCTTGCAGACCCAGAGACCCCATTAGATTTGGGCTATAAAAACTCCCTGTACCTGTTCCTTCCCTTTATCATAAAGTTCATTCAGACTCAGGTGAGTAAAAAATTTCTAATCAAGCTTTTAACCAGCTTCTCCTCAGGAATTACCAGCTCTTGGCTACTGATGATACCTCCAGTCGAGACCTACGCTGAATGGACTGACATCATCATGGATGTGTGATGGCAAGGAACCTTCGTTGATCTGGTTCCTGAAATTATACCGGCCCTCTCTGCCCCCTGTGGGGGCTCCTTACTTCCCTCCACTCTCATTCTCCCACACCGCCCCATCTGAGCAGGAAGCAGCTAGAATGAGTCAACACCCAGTCTCATTTAATAACAAAGAGGGGGGAATGTTGGGAGTCTAACTTCCCCATCCCCTGAGAAGAGCCGTCCAATGGTGAGCCCTGCTGGCTCACATGATCCTTACCCACCAATTGGACTAGCCCTGCTGGCTCACATGATCCTGACCCAACAATCAGAAAGCACCCCAGCCAACTGTCAGACCATTAAACTGTTAATCTGTCATAACTGTCAAACCACCCCCGGCTCTATAAATAAGCAGAGCTATTCCTCAATAAACGGGCATTTTCTCCAACGATGAGCCTTATTCGTTCTTTTACTACGGAAATACAGAAGATAATCAGAAGAAACTGTTTTGAAATTTTATATTCCAATAAAATAGAAAATCTGAAAGATATTGACAAATTTATAGAAACATGCGACCCACCAAAACTGAATCAGGAGGATATACACAATTTAAACATCAATTTCAAGCAATGAAATAGAAAATATCAAAAGCCTGCCAACTGAGAAAAGCCCAGGACCAGACGGATTCTCAGGAGAGTTCTACAAGGCCTTCAAATAAGAACTAACACCAATACTCCTCAAATTATTCCATGAAATAGAAAAGGAGGGAACCCTTCCAAATTCATTCTTTGAAGCTAGCATCTGATACCAAAACCAGACAAAGACACACCAAGAAAACAAAACTTCAGACCAATAATCCTGATGAACATAGAGGCAAACATTATCAATAAAGGGCTGGGGATGTGGTTCAAGTGCAGCCCGGGTTCAATCCTCAGCACCATACGAACAAAGATGATGTGTCCGCCAATAACTGAAAAAATAAATATTAAAAAATTCTCTCTCTTTAAAAAAAATTATCAATAAAATTCTGGCAAATTGCATACAAAAATATAGTAAAAAGACAGTGCACCACGATCTGGTGGGGTTCATCCCAGGGACGCAAGATTGGTTCAGCATAGGGAAATCAATAAATGTGATTCATCAGAAGACTAGACTTAAAAACAAGAATCATATGATCAATCATCTCAATAGATGCAGAAAAGACATTTGACAAAATACAGCACAGTTCCTGTTCAAAACACTAGAGAAACTAGGCACACTAGGAACATACCTCAACACTGTAAAAGCTGTCTATGCTAAACCCAAGGCCAGCATCGTTCTAATGGGGAAAAATTAAAAGGATTCCCCCTAAAAACTGGAACAAGGATGCCCTCTTTCACCACTTTCACTCAACACTGTCCTTGAGACTTGAGCCAGAGCAATTAGACAGAAGAAAGAAATTAAAGGGATACAAATAGGAAACTATCACTATTTGGTGATGACATGATTCTATATTTAGAAGACCCAAAAAAATTCCACCAGAAAACTCCTAGAACTAATAAGTGAATTCAGCAAAGTAGGATATAAAATTAACACCCATAAATCAAAAGCATTTCTCTACATCCATGATGAATCCACTGAAAGAAATTAGGAAAACTACCCCATTCATAATAGCCTCAAAAAAATAAAATCATTGGGAATCGATCTGACAAGAGGGGAAAGACCTCACAATGAAAACTACAGAACACCAAACAATGAAACTGAAGACGACTTAAGAAGATAAAACGATCTCCCATGCTAGTGGATAGGCAGAATGAACACGGTCAAAATGGCCATAACACCAAAAGCATTATACAGATTTAATGCCATTCCTATTAAAATCCCAATGACATTCTTCATAGAAATGGAAAAAAGCAATCATGAAAATCATTTAGAAAAAGACCCAGAATAGTCAAAGCAATCTTTAGAAGAAGAGTGAAGCTGGAGGCATCACAATACCAGAACTTAAATGAGAGAGCTATACTATAACAACAAAAACGGCTGGAACTGGCATCAAAACAGACCCACAGACCAATGGTACAGAACTGAAGACACAGAGACAAAGAATATACACTGGAGAAAAGCTAGCCTCTTCAACAAGTGGTGCTGGGAAAACGGGAAATCCATTATGTAGCAAACTGAAATTAAACCCCTCTCTCACCATGCACAAAACTTAACTCAAAGCAGATCAAGGATTTAGGCACCAGAACAGAGACCCTGTGCTTAGCATAAGAAACAGTAGGCCCAAATCTTCACCAGGTCAGCTCAGGAACTGACTTCCTTAACAAGACTCCTAAAGCACAACAATAAAAAAAAAAAAAAAAAAATCAATAAATGGGATAGATTTAAACTAAAAAGCTTCTTCTCAGCAAAGGAAACAATAATGTGAAGAGAGCGCCCACAGAAGGAGAGAAAATCTTTACCACATGCACCTCAGAGCACTGACTTATAAAGATTTAGAAGAACTCAAAAAACTTAACACCAAAAAAAAAAAAACAAATAATCCAATGAGCAAATGGGCTGAACAGACACTTCACAGAAGAAATACAATCAATCAACAAACATATGAAAAGGTGTTCAACATCTCTAGTAATTACAGAAATGCAACTCAAATCTACACTGAGATTTCATCTCACTCCAGTCAGGATAGGAATGACTAAGAATCCTCAAAAAACTAGGGATAGGCCAGGCACGGTGGCGTAAGCCTATAATCCCAGCAGCTCAGGAGGCTGAGGCAGGAGGATCTCGAGTTCAAAGCCAGCCTCAGCAATTTAGGGAAGCCCTAAGCAACTCAGCGAGACCCTGTGTTTAATAAAAAGGGCTGGGGATGTGGCTCAGTGAACCCCGGGTTCAATCCCTATACAATTAAGGAAAACAACAACAACAAAAAAAAAAAAAAAACCCACACAACTATAAAAAGTAAACTCCTTTCTTTTCAGCCCACTCAGCCTGCGGGTCTGTGCTGCAGCGAGACCTGCTCAGCTTTCCCCTCAGAAGAGCTCCCTCAAGTACCAGCCAGCTGGCAGCCCCGTCACTGTGCCTCTGGGGTCTGCTGCACCCCAGGTTAAGCCCACCCTCTCAGGGACGTTCTGCCCAGCAGAGCTGGGACAGGCCTGGGGCTGACTCTCTCAGCTGTGTTGTCATCTGCAGCTCCCCCTCCCCAGACCTCCTGTCCCAGAGAGAGATCCGGCCATTCCCCTGTCCTGCCTCTTGCAGCCCTTTATCTTTCAAGGTCTAATAATAAGTCTCACCCCATGTGTTAGCACGTAGCAAAACCCCCAGCACCTCAGCAGGGGAATGGGTAAACCACTGTGGTGTGTCACTCAGCAATGAAAATAAACAGAAGCCAAGAACAAAGGCTGTGCCTGTGGTCCCAGCTACTCAGGACCAAGGCAGGAGGATCGCTGGAGCCCAGGAATTGGAGGCCAGCCTTGATATCATAGGGAGATCCCGTCTCTAAAAAAAGCCCATTAGAGGCGGCTCGGCTCAAACAAGGCCCCGGGTTCCACCCGCAGCTCCAATGATCAACTGCTGATTTACGATGAGGACGACGAATATCAAGAAGGTGGTGGGAGAAAGAGGCCTCACAAAACACCGGGACCCCTGGGCTGGGCTCCAGCACAGCCCCCAGACACTCGCGCAAACACGGGTGCCACCATCACCCTCACTGCGCCCTGGACCCCGGCTCCAGGTTCGTGCTGCTCAGAGCACTGATGTTCCAGCATGTTCTCTCACTGGTTTCTCCTGCTTGGAGCGCCTCCCCAGGGCGGAGAGCCTGAGCTGGACGGGCCTCTCCCAGGGGCCCGGGCACCCAGCAGAGGCAGGAGGGAAGGGCAGGTCCGTTCGCCCACCTGCGGGTCCCTGGAGCCACCAGCCCTGTAAGCCCTGATCCGCCTTCACTGCGGAAGAAACGGGAGAGCCGCCGCGCAGGGTCGACAAGACGAGGGGCCACCGGGGCCAGCCCTCTGCTCCCTGACCTGCCACCCGTGAGCTGTGGGGAACTGAGCGCCGCTGGAGCCGCGAGGGGTGGGGCCTCCCAGCAGCAACAGCCCCGGACATGGGGCGCCCACCGCCCCTCGGAGATGGGCGTGGCTGGCCAAATCACCAATCAAGACCCCTCAAGACCCCTGCCACAAGGACCCCAGTGTGCCCAGAGCCCTCCCACAGGACCCCAGTACTGGGGACGGAGCCCAGGGCCCAGCAACATCTCCAGCCCCTTGAAAATCTTATTTGGTTAAACAAGGAAACGGCGGGTGGAGAGGGGTCTGGGCACAGGGCGAGGCCTTTCTGCACCAGGCAACAAGAGATGCTGCAAAAACCAGCCCGTGAGCAGGAGATCACTGCTGCGGTGGGAAGAAGCGTCTTTCAGGTGCCGCCCTGTCTGGGCCAGGCCCCGGCACTCACCCAGGTAGAAGCGCAGGAAGGGCGTCGGCGTCATGTTCTTGAACATCATGATCTGCACCCAGGGGTTCTTGTACTGGATCTGAGGAATGTTGAAAAACACGAATTTCCTGCAAATAGAAGACACGACCCAATGTCACAGGGGTTTGACCATAAAATGTGGAGCACACATGGACCGCTCTCGGGAGTGTCCAGAGCTGCCTTGGATTCTCAGAGGACACTAACCCCGCAAAAGGCAGAACTGTAGCTGGAAAGGACCCCCCACCATGTGCCCCCCACAGTGCTGGGACTCCCGGTTACTCACTCAGGGGAAAGAAATCGAAAGCCCAGGATGTGGCACACTCCCCAAAAACTGACCAAAGATTTAAAAGGAAAAATAGAATCCCAACAGGCCCACACCTCGGTCTGATGCCCTCATAGCGGGCAGTGGGTGAAGCCCATCCTGGGTGTGCAGTGTGTCCAGGTCAGGCCCCAACTTTGAAATAAAGGAATACTCTACAGTGCAGGTGTGCAGGAAGACCTTGGGCCAGAATGTTCCCAAGACGGATCCCCACAACCGCATTAGAATGTCTGCACAGCACAGCTGACCAACAGTCAGCTCTGCCAGATCAGAAGAAATATGTTCCCAAAACATAAACCAAAGGTCCCTTCCCTTGAGACAGAATCGCACACATGGTTAATAAAACTGACAGGCAAGGGCCACTGCTAGGAGAGGAAGAGAAAGGGAAATGGCCCATCATCCTATGTTCTAGAACCTTCCCATTCAACTCATGTAAATTAGAATGATTCTTTTTCATCTTTGATGGTTAACTTTTTTAAAAAAACAACTACAGAAGAAAGGAAACATTTCATGAAGAATATAAACTGGAATGGGTGTGGTGATACACACCTGTGATCCCAGTGGCCTGGGAGGCTGAGGCAGAAGGATCACAAGTTGAAGGCCAGCCTCAACAACTTAGTGAGGCCCTAAGCAACTTAGCAAGACATTATCTCAAAATAAAAAAAGGGCTGGGGATGTGGCTCAGTGGTGAAGCACCCCTGGATTCAATACCCTGTACCAGAACACAAACAACAAAAGAATATAAATTGGGGCTAGGTATGGTGTCACATGCACGTTTAAGGCTGGACAATTAGAAGACCCTGTCTCAAAGAGGATTGGGGTTGTAGCTCAGGGATAGAGCACCCCTGGGGTTCATTCCTCAATACTGAGAGAAAGAAACATGTAGAAACATAAATGTAAATTGCCTTCACTTTTTTTGAAAGCACAGATCTATTTCTTTTTTTTAAAAAGAGAGAATTTTTTAATATTTATTTTTTAGTTCTCGGCAGACACAACATCTTTGTTTGTATGTGGTGCTGAGGATCCAACCGGGGTGGCAGGCATGCATGCCAGGCGAGTGCGCTACCGCTTGAGCCGCATCTCCAGCTAGAAAGCACAGATCTTAAGTCAACAATTCCACCTCTGCTTTCACACTTTCATACCCTGAGGACTACTGTGGGCTCATCTGTGACAGCCCAGGGACAGAACAAGGAGAGAGGACTGAGGAAATCAACTCTGGCAGGTCCCATCCCCAGCAGCACAAGAAAAACAAGCAGTGGTACCAGGTGCATTGATTTATTTCCTAAGGTAGAGTTCCAGCTTATTTAATTATTTTCCCGTGGGCGGGTGGGGAATTGACTAATTGACAGAACGTGAAAATACAAAAGCTCCCAGGTGGCGGTGGCTATCAGAGCCGCGCACGCCCGCTGGCCCGCGCCCAGCCCGCGGAGCAGGACTACAAATCCTGGGCGCCACCAGGCACAACGGCACACGCCTGTAATCTCAGCGGCTTGGGAGGCTGAGGCAGAAGGGTCACGAGTTCAAAGCCAGCCTCCGCAACTTAGCAAGTCCCAAAGCAACTCAGAGTGACCCTGTCTCTAAATAAAAAAATTAAAAGCACTGGGGATATGGCTCAGTGCTTAAACGCCCCTGGGTTCAATTCCTGGGACCAAAAAGAAGAGGGAAGAAAAAAAAAAAATGCGGAGGGCCCTTGAATGAGCCAAGGCTGGCAGGCGACATGGGGCCAGTCTGCGGGTTATGAAGGACTGTGTGGGCGCCCATTCTCCCCAAGCCCAAGTCCTCCGGAAGCCCTCACCCCGCTGATCCCATATAAGCAGGCCCGAGCTCTGGGCCTCACGTGCTTAGAGCAATGGCTACGAGGAGGCTTCTGGCTCTTTCCATCAACCCTGCCGTCCAAGCCCTTCCCGTGGGACACTCGCTCCACAAGGAGCTTCCTCCCCCTGTGCTCCCTCCCAGACTCCCGCTCTGGCCGGCTATTTGCTCCGACCCTGCTGAAGTCCCCACATTCCAGGGTCACTCAACACATTCGTGCTGACACCAGAAGAGCGCAGAGACGCGCAGGGGTCAGTTCGTGCCACGCCCGTTCCCACTCCAGGCTGACCACCCCGCGTTTCCCTTAAGCGGGGACAGCTGCGTAACTCGCCCCACTGCTCCCGCCCGTGGCAGCGCCGCCACGCCCCCAGCCCCACTCGCCACGCCCCCAGCCCCACTCGCCACGCCCCCAGCCCCACTCGCCACGCCCCCCACGCGCCCTGGGCAGCGGCGGCACCTTGGGCCAGCCCCCAGAGGGGCCTCCCCATCCCTCGGGTGCCCTTAAAAATAGGCGACGTGATGCCTGAGTGGCATTAACAAGGGTTGGCTAGATGTCAACAGCTGTCTCTCTCCGACACCTCCCCCTGGGCGGAGTGACCGTCCCCGTCGGGGACACCTAGCTGGAGCAGCTCGCCCAGTGCCACAGGTGGAGGAGCTGGGACGCAAGCCCCGTCAGGCGTCCTGGGCTGCCCCTCCCCAGCCCTCCTGCCACATGGGGGCCAAGGGGTCCGGTGGCCTCCTCAGGGTGGCCTTGTCACACCACGCGGGAGGAAAGAGACAAGGGCGGGCCTTGGCCGGCGCCTCTGGTCACGACTGCGGGCGGCCCCGCGGCGCTCGTCTGTTCGGTGGGTGACGCGGGCAGCGCGAGGCACGGGGACGGGTCGCGGTCCGCCGGACACTGACCTGGCGCCCTCGCCCAGCTCCCCGTGCGTGTTGTAGTTCACCGTCATGACCTTCACCGAGTCCTTGAACACCACGGTGCCCTGGGCCAGGTACTGCAGGGTGCGGCGGATGGGGAAGCGGCCCTTCATGGGCATGGCGGCGGAGGCAGGGCGGCCCGC